TTCACAGGAAAAACGAAGTCTCCCTAAATAGATTGTATTTAAAGTTGAAAAAAAGTGGAACAAAAATTGTGCAAAAAATTTTAACACAGAGTTTTTGAAAAGCTATAAGTCTTCAATTGCGCCGAAGAATGACCTTAATGGTTCGAATGAAAGTGTTAAAATACAAATTGATACAATCAGTTAAAACAGGCCTTAAAAAAAATAACAATTTTTTTGGTACTCTTGTACCTTACAAGACTACTCTAAAACAATCCATAACCTACTCTTGATACTCTTGTAAAATAACAATCTTGGTAATCTTGACACTTTTGTTGTGTTAACAATTGGAGATAATGAGTTGAAAACAGTGAAAAGATAAAATTGATAAAAAATTGATTACTTAACAGTGATGTATCCAGAAATTTTTTAAGCATACCGATCTAAAAATTCTGTTTACGTTAAGAGTACTTTTTTATTTCTTTTTTTTTAAATTTAAATATAATTATTTATATATAATATAACTCGCACTTTATGTTTTTTCTAATAAAAAGTTTAAATATTTAACTAAAAAATGTTACATTTATTACAAAATGACGGCAACATCGATTCGCCGCTAATTTTCAGTTTTTTTACTTGATTACTAATTATAAATTATAACTAATATTTAGTTATTAAATTCAATTTATTCAATTAAACTATTTAACTTAAAATATTCAATACTAATAATTATAAATATAAGGAATATGATTTCATAAACAAGGAATAACAATAACATTTAATAAACAATCCTTGTATGTTTCTTTCAAATAGACATAAAAGGATTTATTACATAGTGTATTTATTGCATAATAAGGTCGATTTATTCGAAGTTTCAATTATTTCATTCAAAAATTAATAACTTCTTTTTCTAGTTCTACTCTTACTTTTCAAATTAAGTTTTTTGGCGCAATTATTATAAGGTTATGTTTTATTTGTTTTATAATTAAAAAAATTTTTAATACAATTTTACTGTTATTTGAAATGAAAAAGAGTAAAGCTCATATAGTTTAATCGCTTTGAAAATTATGTTATAAAAGCTTGAGCGGAGGAGAAAACTCAAATTAAAGTATTTTTAAAATGTTATTAAAAAATGCTAAGCGTTTCATATTTTAATTCAATCAAAAAAAAAACGACGTGATTATATTTCATCAACGTGAAGTGACTCAACGTGAAGTGACATCAACGTGAAGTGACATCAACGTGATTATATTTCATCAACGTGAAGTTGAATTAAGCATTCTGGTTGGCTTAAAATACATTTATAATGTGTTTTAAAAGTCGTTTATCAAAAGTTGGTTTTTCTAAGCGACATTAATGTCATAACAAATACTAATATAAAAATGTTTTAAGTTGTTTGTTTTAAATTGAAAGAGTCTGGGTTGAAACTTGGGGGTCCATACCGGTGTACTGGTATAAAAATCGGCCAGGATACGTCGTTGATTAAATTTCCTACTCCAACATTCCATAATTGATATCCTCAAAATATTATGATTATTGATTCCGAAACAACACTTTCTCTTTTGGTTTGCTCAGAATCCTGGTATCTTTTTGAATATATTGGTGTTTCACATATCGAAGTTGAAAATGGGTTTACAGGAAAATCTCAAAGAATTTTGAGAGTTTTTGAAAGTTTGTGGAAAATTTTATTAAGCGGATATTGTTGTGGATGTCAAAGAACGAGAAAATATTTTAGATGCAGAACATAACAGTCTTTTAAAAATGCAACTAAAATATGAAAATATTCAAACAACTTTAATGTAAAATAATATTTAAAAAAGTAAAAAAATTATGCAAAATTAAATCAATAGGTCCTAAATTATGGCAGAATAGGTTGTGTCGCATTTGTGGAAGTGAAATAGGTCCAAAAACTAAAGAAAATCTAAAAAATTAAAAATAAATGTGTCACAAAAAATATTTTAATTATATTTAAATAACATTTTTAAATATAATAAAATACATTAAATATTTCATAAAGAAAAATGAACATCATATAAATATTTTTAGATATAATGTAATATAAGCATTCCGAATCGATGTAATCATATTGGATGCATTTATTTAAGACATAAAACTTTGTTTTGTTGTGAATATATTTATATGTAAATATAATAATCAGTAGAACTTTACAAATTAGAATTAATTCTTTTTCTTCAAATTTTTCGTAAATAAACAAAGTAACATGTAAACACAGAGGTAAAAATTTGTTTTTCTTAAGTTCATTGAGTTCTTGAATCCGTTATATTACTTTAACTTGTTCAAAGCCATACATATGAATTGATTGAACAATAATGCATGTTTCATTTGTTAGCTCAATTAAATCTAAAACTAATAGTAGAATAAACTAAAACAATAAAAAGCTAAAAAAGACTAATGTTTAAAAAAAATTCTTAAGGTAGTTTATTTTATATATATATATATATATATATATATATATATATATATATATATATATATATATATATATATATATATATATATATATATATATATATATTTGTATATGTATGTATATATATTTCTAGTTTATCTAATAATAAATATCGGTTTACATACACATATAAACGATAAATAAACTTATTTAATAATAAAGGTGATTTAACAAATAAATAAATATATATATATTTAATTCAAAAGGTTATTTTAATAAAAATATATTTTCAAAACATCTACCAATCTGTCAAGGCTACGATAAAATAAGAAACACCTACCACAATTTGAGTAATCTCTAAATATTTTGCAAAAAAAAGCCTAAATTTTAATTTAAGATATCAAATCCCCCCTATGCAGGCTTCTAAAATATTCCTTAAAATAGTTTAGACCATAATGGAAAAAAATTGTATTTGCTTTCTGGATTATCACATCCCCTATGTGTAGTCTCTGTAAATATATTGAAAAGAAACTAAAATTCTTACTTAAAATAACACAACCTTTCTATGTATACTTCTAAAATCTTACATCTCCTTATGTAGTTTATAAAATGTTTCTACCGATTAGTATTGAGTATCTAGAATATAACATCTAACACTTGTTATATCTGTATATATCACAAAAAGAAACTGAAATTTTTAATTAAAATATTACATCCCCGATGCAGGCTTCTAAAATATTTCAAACGATTAGTGTTTAAAAACTAGAGTATTACATTTCATGTGTAATGTTTTTCTTACTGTTGTCATGCAATACATGACGCTCAAAAAGTTATAAAAATGAATTTAAAATATATTATCATTTTTTACTAACTTAATTATAAAATATTTGTATTAATACGTTTTTATGAATCTCGTTGCGTTTTTATTGTATTTTTTATGTAATTGAATGTTTCGGAAAATATTGACACACTTTTAAGTGCAAAAACTCGAAAGCGCATTCTCGTTTACATTTATTCTATGGGGATATGATAATTATGGCGGATGTGATCGTTCATTACAGGTGACGTAATGGAAAGATTTGATTTAAAAAAATAAAAAATACAATCAATTCACATTGATTTAGAATCTGTTATTATTTTATACAGATCACTAATTCAATGTGTGTCTAATGAGAAATGTTTGATTCTTATGAAATAAAGACAAAAAACAGTAAGGGATTACAGGTTATCAAGAAAAAACACTACGGGAAAAAAAAAGAAAATCAATGTTTAATGAGATAAGACAAGATAAATCACATCTTAATGGTAGACAGAATTTTAAAATTAATACATTTTTAGATACAATAGTTAAAATGCCTTTAACAATTATAGATTATGAATTTGAAGATTTGTATGCATATGTTGAAATTGCCTTAAGTAGGTACGCGCATATCATGATTTACGGAACCGATTTTTGTGCTAAAATTTTGTGACTCGTTTTTTTCACTTCTTTTAAGGCAGCGTGGGATAAACGTAGTTTTGTGGAGTTTCTTTTTAGAAACATATAAACACATAGATACTTTTTGGAAAGAAGAGAAGCTAATCTTTACTTTTTTAAAATTTTTATGTATGTTTACTAAACTTTTTAACGGATTATTTTGCTCCTGAATATTTGGTTGGTGTTCTCACATGAATTTGTAGTCGAAGGCATGTCGTGTCCGCTTTTTTTTTTATTCAGGTCATTTTTTACATGCATTTTCTATTTATGAACCGAATTTCAACGAAAAATAATTGGGAGCAGATATGTTACGAGGTGCTTTGTTAAACATACTGCTTTTTTTAGGTAGGGTTAGACAAACGCTTTTTGTGGTGTCTCTTTTTAGAAACATATATAAACAAAAGTTATATTTGGAAAGAAGAAAGGTTAGACTTGATTTTTATAGTACTTTTATGTATAATCACTAAAAATTTTTATAGTTAGTTTTGCTGAAAACTTTCAAGAAAATTTCGTTGATGTTCTCACATTAATTTGTTGTCAAAGGAATGTCGTGTCCGCTTTTTTTGTTATTTAGGCAATTTTTTACATGCATTTTCTTTGCACATGCCAAATTTCAGCAAAAAATATTTGGGAGCAGATAGTTTAAGAAGTGTAGGACTTTTGGTACCTAAATTCGGTTTTTCTGTTGTTGTTTTTTTGGTAAGCAAAATACGCGGGAGGGAAGAGTAAGGATTTAAGAGGGATTGTAAACAAAGAGTATAAGAATAAGAGGGATTGTAAACAAAGAATTATTACTTCATTATATTATTTTAAATTTTCATATTAGATTATAAGCTCAAAAAAATGGTAAAAACAATGCCAAAAGGATAAAAAAAGTAAGTTAATTTTTTTTTTATAATAATATAATAATAATAATTTAAAACAAAACAACAATGAAAAATTTTAAAACCTTAATCTTTGTTTAAATAGATTATGTAAACAAAGATTAGGCTTAAAATTTTATTTTTAGATTTTTCTTTGTTGTTTCATTCTTTTTTTTTTAAACAATTTTTTAATGTTGTTTTCATTGTTGTTATTACATGTTTTATATAAATTCATATAAAATGTACTTTTATTTATTTTATATAGAAATTTTAAAGCCTTAATCTTTGTTTATATGGTATGTATTAAAAAAAATTAAGATTCAAGATTAAAACCGTTACTTTATAATATTTTGTTAACTAAGCACTTATCAGATGATAAATTTGTTAAGACACCATATATATACAAATGACATTTGTTATACTTCATTGGCTTAAGTCAATTTTTGACAATATATTTTTGTAAAAAAAAGGTATTATTACATAAATATCTTGTTAGTGTTTTTCTAAAATAAAAAGATTTTGAGATATAATAATTTTTTTTTTATTGCTTTTTTTTTATTAGTCAACATGTTGTAAAGGAGAACTGATTTGATTTCTGTTACTTTTATTGCCAACTTACTGTTGACTATTTCAAGATGTTTTATTTTGATTAGACAACTTTTTTTTTTTTTTATCTTTAGTCCAATCTGCACAGACTACAGTTGGTAAGTTATTATACCATTATATATTATAGAAACTTTTATAAACCTTTTTACGGATTATAAATAAAAATATGTATTTATTACTCATGTATGTATTACTTGTTGTGTATGGATTTCACATTAGTTGCAATATTGATTTTTTGTTGCAACTTTGTAATTTTAGTATCTACCTCATGTGTTACACCTGGCAAGTCAAACAACTCTTACTTTTTAATGTGCAAACTTTACAATATGTTTGACTATAGTTCCTTAGTCATGTGCTGCGACTAGTAATTTAAAAAACTATTACATTTAATATGTGTTTGCATGTCTCGTAATTTGTAATATTGATTTTATGTTATAACTTTGTAATTTTAGTATCTACCTCATCAGCTACACCTGGTAAGTTAAACAACTCTGACTTTTTAATGCGCACAAATTTCTTATTGATTACAATATTGATTTTATAATATAATATTTACCTTTAGTTCTTTCTACGTGTGCTATGCCTTGTAAGTTTCAAAACCCTTTTTCTTTTAACATGTGTATGCATTTCTTATCAATTGCAATACTGGTTTTTGATTAAAACTTTTTTTGTTATAGTTACATGTTCAGCTGTCATATCAGGTAAGTTTAAAAAATATTTCTTTTTAGACTTTAAATGCATTTATTACTAGTTGCAATTTTTATTTCTTAATACAACTAATTTTGGTTCCATTTGCGCCACCTTCAAATGGTAAATTTATGAATCTGGAATGCCTCTGATTGATTATTGAATTCCTCTTATATCTATTTATATAAACTATTTAATACTTTTGTATTTTGTTAGCTCTCCAAGTGCGATAAATGGAGAATCAGAAGCATTTAAATTTTAATTCTGATTAACTTTTATTTCAATTTTCATTGATTTATTTATTATTCATTATATTTATTCAGACAAATTGTCCTCGTAAGTAATTAGTTTATATTTCATAATTTTTGTAACATGAATTACAAATACATTTATATTTTATTTGTTTTTAGAGCTAACATATGAAGCATATCGATCGTTTCGGCTGGACAACCCAGGACCCAGTAGCAATTCATCCTACAAGAGGTGGGTCAAGTTAAGTGGAGAGGATGAGCCATCCTTTAAATGGCACCCTTATCCTTTAAATTGGGGTCCTGGGAGGTCCAGCATTGGAGGAAATCGTGTCAGGCGAGGAGGCCGTTACAAACGAGGAGGCCGAGGAAAGCCAGTGGAGCGAAATGGTGGCGGCTTTATGGGAAATTTTTATTGTTAATAACTATTAATTTATTTCCAGGTCGCCACCATTTTCTTTTTGTTGTGTTAAATATATGTATATACTTGAAAAGTTAGTTTTCTGATTTCTCTTAACTTTTCCAATTACATAACATTTTAGTTGTTTGTTTTCAAATGTCCAAAATTCACATAACTTAATTAAAAAATGATTTATTAACAAGTTAGACAAGAACTTTGAAGATATTATTTGTATGTTTTCAACTATGTGAATCTACGTTGTGATGAAAGTTTTTGTTAAATGTGGATAGTCTATTTCATATTTTTTTACATTTATGACTTTAGTATATTATAAACGTTTGGATTTTATGAATATTATTTTATTTTACACTAATATGGTTTATGTTTAGAGTTATTAAAAATATTATTGGAATATACCGTTAATTGTTGTAGAAGGTATGTATTGTTTTTTAAAACTTTTTCTATTCAGCATATTTGTTGTGTTGTGGCATATTGTTATACTAAAACGTGATCAATTTTTAACAAATTTTACTATGTTTATTCGTTTGTTTTTTTTTAAAAACAAGTTTTTACATTATATACACGCTTTTTTATTACATTTTTAAGGAATTATGGTCCCAAAAAAAAGTGGATGTATGTTTCATGGTGCAGTAAAAAAGTATGTAGCTGTAAATTTCACTGTTCATAGCGAAATAAATAACCACTGTAAAAACGGACATATAATCTTCTTATATACTAAAAACAGTGAGTCAACTTTTGAAACTCTTAAACAAGTCAATGACTTATTTAGTTTAAATACAAGTAAACGTCAACTCGTTAATTTACTTAAAAATGCCCAAAAATGGACATGCAATTATGTAAGGGATTCTTCAAAATTTATTGAATTTTGTAATGAGCCCTTTGCATACCATGCACTAAGCGTGTCATCGACACAGGCAATGCATCTTTATCAGAGTAGTTTATTGGTTCCTGTTTCAGGGTCTTCTGTTATTTCATCCCGTGAATATTTTGCTATATTACCTTTAGTTAATAGGGAGCCTATTCTGCCTGTAAATTACATACAAAACGAAACAAGACAGCATGCATCTAGAGAAGAACTCACCCCTAAGAAAGTAAAACTCAGCAATAAGTTATTATATTTATGTACTCAGTTAGCAAACTCTACCAAAGATCACAGGCAAAAAGTAGCAAAACTGAAATCAAAATACAATAGCGTGTCGTATAAGTTTAACGTATTTAGGTAAAACATTAAAAGAAACAAAGATATTATTAGAGTTTTGAGAACAGAAAGTGCAGATCAAAAAAAAAATTAAAGACATATTATTACAGTAGAGTAATCAGTAATCTTAAAGCTAAAATTAAGGCGTTAAAAGTAAAAGAAAAACAAAACCTAATGCAAATAAGAGTTCTTCAAAATGCTAATATCAAGGCAAGTAATCTGTTAACTGCTTAACTAGAAAATGGTAACACCCACATACAAGAGGGGGAAATTCTATCTATTAATATATCAGAAAATGAAAAGGCTTATCCTTTGCAAATGAGGATGATCATTTACAGCATGTTACTGGCTAATGTTCCAACAGGTAACATTGGATTCCTTATTAGAAAAATTGGTTAGTATTTAAATGTTAACTTTAATGAAATTCCTAGTCGTTGCACTATTGAGCGAATGACACGTGAACTTGGAACTATAGCAGAATTGCAATCAGCAGAATGGGCTATAGAAAATCCTTATCTTACTCTATGATTTGATGTAACAACGCAAAAAGGTGTTCATATAAACAACATCCATCTTACATCAAAAAACAACTGTCAGGTCATTGCTTTAGACCAATTATCAGGTGGAACAGCTATTGATTATGAAAGCCATATATGTTGTGCAGTTGATCATCTAGCTTTTATTTATTCAAATTTTCACTCACTTTTCTTAAATGACTGTCGTAGCACAATCATCTCAAATATATCTAACACAATGTCTGACAGGGTTGCAGTAAATCATCTTACAATCACGAAAACATGCAATACCTGGGGTAAAAATCTTAATGAGCTAAACTGCCATTTGCACCCTTTAGACACTATTGCTATTTCATGTCGTGATGCTCTTAAATCCTTAGAATTTGAACGTTGCGGATTATTTGGAAATGATTGTATGGCAGTCAAAATTGTTTTAGCTATAAACAAGATGAGGTTTAAAGATGGAAAAGGTGATCCAGAAGGGTTTGTTAATTTTTTAGACAATACCCAGCCAGCAATAGCAAACGGGCCCCGTACGGTTTATATCCGGGTTTACGGGATACATCCCGTATCCCGTAATCTTAATACAATTAAATAATCTTAATACAATTAAAAATAATAATGCTTGTATTCCATAATTAGCCAGTCTTGTGAAGAAGATTCTCAAGTAAAGTTATTTGAAAAAAGTTTGTAAAATATTACTTAAAATAAAGTTTGTTTATATATAGATATACAGGACTTGTTTTAAATAAAATATGTGTAGCATAAAAGCGTAAGCATTTTTGCTTTTTAGAAAAGGAAATTGAATCTATTTTTTTTAAAGAAGAACTTAGTAAATCAATAAAGAAAAAGAAAACAGAGTCAACAAAAGGGTGAAAAAATTAAAATTTTTACTAAAAAAACAAAACTTTTAACAGATTCTAAGTCTATCTAGTCTACATAATAATGCTTTAGAGCAATAATTATAATCTTTTGTATATCATTAATAAATTTAACATTTTTAGACATATGAAGTTCAATAAAAGTTTTGAAGACCTTAATAAATCCCAAAAACAAGCTTTTATCAAGCCAGATGTTCCTTTAAGTATATATTTCAGTTCTTATTTTCTTGTTGCAGTAGTAAGGTAGTATCTTAGGAATAGCAACATTTTTAACTGTTTTTTTCGTTCCTCGATGTTCTAACACTTCAGATGATGTTGATTTCAATAAAAATTCATCTTTAACAGGTATACATATATATAAATATATATATATATATATATATATATATATATATATATATATATATATATATATATATATTATATCTTATGAGCAATGCACTAAGCTATGCTCAGTGCGCAATGTCGTTAATAATTGTATAATTTTAAATTTCAGTCTTGTAACATTTAAATTTAAATATGATCATTTTTTAATTTATTTTTTAATATTTTCATTTCCATTCTATTTTTATTTGTAATATTTAAATTAAATATTTTGCGATAAAATGGTATTTTTTAAATTTTATTTTTATTATTTTTTTTTATTATTATATTTAATATTTTATAAGTTAGTCAATGTGTATTATATTTATTAAATATATCTTTATAGAGACAATAATTAATGGGTACACACACACACACACACACACACACACACACACACACACACACACACACACACACACACACACACACACACACATATATATATATATATATATATATATATATATATATATATGTATATATATATATATATATATATATATATATATATATATATATACCATTCATACATATATTGCAGATTTTTCATTCAATTTGTCTGAAACTTATCAAAGAATGCCTAATTCTTCAACAATAGTACCTTTTGCTGCAGCAGAAAATTCAGGTACGTTTATCCATTTCTATAATATTATACTTATATATGTTATAGAAATAGAAGACCCTAAAAAAAAAGGTGTTTATATGTTATGATTTAATGTTGATTAGCAATTAGATTCTTTAGCAGTAAGCATTTATAGGAGTATGCAAAACTATTTTGAGAGGGTTAGAACAAATTAAAGAAACACAAAAATTTCACTCTAAGATGATTCAGAATTTATTGCAACGGTTTAACATAGAAAGAGACATAGCATCAGTGGAGCTACCAGAAGGTTTAACATTTCCTGTAACAACAATGGAAGAACTGGATAAGGCTCTTGAAATATTAGCTAATGTTACTACTCAAAGGATTTTGGTAATTGTTTACTCAGACCTATTTTGAATAAATTTTCATAAACTTTATCAAAATTATGTACTTTATTATTTAGTAATAATAAATTTTCATTTAGTTTAATTTTGCAATATTCAATCTTATTATAGGTTCATATTCTTTTTGAAAATGGTGGGCAAGATATTTCAGAATTTGTTAATCGAAATATGACTTATCTTATTGGAAATGTATTGGCCAGACAGCTAAATTTGACCGGCCAAAAAAATAAGCGTGGATTTATTAAAACCATTTTGTACAACATTCTTTATAGTATGCTAGAACTTAGTATTTTTGAATTAACATATTTTATTTTACATTTGAATTTACATATTTTATTTTAATTCAAATAAAAATTTGAAAATATTTTTTTACAACAGCTTCCATAAAAATGAATACATCTACAAAAGAGTGTACAAAAAAACAGCTTGAGGAGGCTCTTTCAAAATGGTTTGGTAATGCTCGTGACAGAGGTATAGGTCGAAGACGGCGCTTAGATGTCGTTAATCATTTGGAAGAAAGTTTTTAAATAATTCTTAATCCTATCTTAAACGAATATGTTATATTTTATAGTAGTTTTTTTATTAAATATTTTAGTTATTGTATAAAAAAAGAGTTTCTTTTTTCAGTGTTGTTTTTAAGTTTCTGAATTTTTTTTATCATATATACATACATATAAAACCTATGGTTTTCAAAAAAGTTATAAAAAGTTTTTTGATAATAATTCTTTTAATATTTTTTCAAATAAGAAATTATTTTTTTGAAATTTTTATTTAATTTTGCTTATTTATAAGTTCCAGGTTGAAATTTTTTTTTCAATGATATTAGAGACTCACTCAATTATATATATACTTATATATATATATGTATACTTATATATATATATATATATATATATATATATATATATATATATATATATATATATATATATATATATATATATATATATGTATATATATTGCTGTTAAATTTGTTATAATAAGTTATAGTTGATATTTGTTAGAAGTTTGTTTATAGTTTATTTTAATTTACTAGAATGACTTCTGAAAGATCTAAACGTAGAAAAATAGCTGAAGTGGTATCAAAACTTTTTCAAGAATCTTCAACTTTAAATATACAGAATCAGGATGTTTATCCATATAGTAGCAATATGTTTTTTGATTCTTTATATTTACATGGAATAAGAGAACAAGTTGACAGTAATTTGGAACCTAACGAATTTTTAACTAATTCTAATTATTCTGATAATAGTTTAGCTGTTATGGAGACTGAAATTAGCGAAATAGAAAATAACAAAAACACTATTGAATTACTTACAGATGATAGTAATGAATGGTCTCCTGAGTCATTTATTTCTGATGATTATAAGAGTGATGAAAGTAATGACAGCGAAAAATTGCCTCATAAACTTGCTAATTGGGCATTAAGCTTCAATATAACACATGCTGCTTTGAACAGTTTGTTACCTTTATTAAGAGAATATGGGTTAAGTTTGCCTAAAGATTCAAGAACACTTCTTCACACCCCCCAAAATATAAATACAAAAATTGTCGCGGGCGGAGAGTATTACTATTTCAGCATGCAGTATTGGCTTTTAATAATGTTTAAAAACAATTCAATAGAATCAAACAACAATCAACTTACCATTCACATTAACATTGATGGTATACCTATATTCACCAGTTCCAGTACTTCTCTTTGGCCAATTTTAGGTACTCTTATTGAAGCTGGAGCAATAGTATTTCCAATAGCAATTTATTGTGGTGACAAAAAACCAAATTCTATTCAGGAATATCTAGAAGATTTTTTGGTTGAGATTAAAGCTCTTACTGAAAATGGTTTTACCCATGAAAATGTAAAGTATGATGTAAAGCTTGCTGCAATTATATGTGATGCACCAGCAAGAGCATTTGTGAAATGTATAAAGGGTCACAATGGTTATAATTGTTGTGAGCGTTGTGTTCAAAAAGGAGAGTGGTGTGGCAAAATAATCCTTCCGCATACATCAGCAACTTTAAGGATTATTCAGATTTTCGTTATCAAAATAGTTTGGAACATCATATTGGTGTGTCTCCTTTAATTGAGTTGGGTTTTGACATGGTATCAAAATTTCCTTTAGATTACATGCACCTAGTATGTCTAGGGGTTGTGCGAAGAATCATCAACTTATGGTTAAATGGTCCCAGATCATGTAAGTTGTCGCAAAATACTGTAAATATTTTATCTGATAGATTTTTCCAGATACGTTGTTATATTCCAAAGGAATTTTCTAGGAAACCAAGGTCTTTATCAGATTTTCGGCATTGGAAAGCCACTGAACTTAGACTTTTTCTAATATATACTGGACCAGTTGTTTTAAAGGGATTACTTGAGCCAAAATTTTATTCAAACTTTTTAGATCTTTCAGTTACAATTCGTATTTTATTATGTCCTATTTTGTTGAAAAACTATATTGGTTTAGCTCGTCAGTTACTTACTTATTTTGTGCAGTCGTTTGGTAAACTTTATGGTAAAGATCAGTTAGTTTATAATGTCCATTCTTTGATACATCTAGCAGATGATGCAGTTAACTTTGAAGTTTTGGATAAGTGCTCCTCATTCAAATATGAAAATTATCTGGGTCAATTAAAAAAGCTTGTTCATAGGCCACAACAACCATGTTCACAAATTGTTAGGAGAATTTTCGAGGGCTGTTTGAAGGAAGATAGACATCATATTCATCAGCTGAAATTTAGCATCCAGCATGTTGATGGACCAATAACCATTGCATTGAGACATTGTTTGCAGTTTAAAAATTACCAAGGTTTTAAGTGTTTTGTTTCTGCTACTGATGGAAATAACTGCTTTGAAGTTGCAAAAAAAATTGGTTTAGTTAGAAATATTATACAAATAAAAACAGGCGAATCTTGTGATGGATTGGTTATGTTTGAAGAATTTGCAGCTCTTGAATCATTTTTTACAGATCAACTTTCTTCCAATAGTTTGTCGATATTTTATGCAAGCAAAATGACTGGTATTAATAAAATTTACCCACTATCAGACATCAATATTAAGTATTTACAAATACCATACAAAAGTGGCTTTATTGTTATGCGTCAACTACATTTGTGAATTATAAATACTTTTTATTTTCTAAAACTTATAACCTCTTTATATTATATTATGCATTTATATGAAAATAAAATTTTCTAGAAAGTCAAGTGATTATTTTTTAATCTTTTTTTTAACATATGTTGTATATCTAATTATATATGTAAACAAATAAATTTAAAAATATATATATATATATATATATATATATATATATATATATATATATATATATATATATATATATATATATATATATACGCTATGCTAATTTATTTATAAGTAACTAAAGAAAAAGTCTAAGAAATCTCAATTTATTACATATCTGCGCTTTTTATTTATTTACATTAGTTATTATATTTATATTATTTATTTATCTTAGTTATACATCCTAATTTATCCTAATTTATTTTTATTAAGTTATAATAATTAGTATAACAAGTTTAACTCCATTTTTATTTTGTGTCATTTTTTAAATTTTCTTTAGATAATGTCAGTTATCATTTTCTTATGTTATTAAGGTATTTTGCATTTTTTATTTAAGAATATTTCTGATTATTTGCAATAGGTTCACAGTGGCTGTTGGCAATATTTGTCTAGTGGTGTGAGTTGACTACAGAACGTCTCCAATTTAAGTTAATGACTCCAATTAAATAAACTCCTTTAATGGCAGGTTAGTAAATATAATAGTAATAATAATGATAAGTAGTCTTGTTTATTAGAATTAATGAATGACTCTTGTATAGAATTTTTTGACTTAATGGTTAGTGAGTATACTCCCTTTAATTATTAAACACAATTTTAATATTGTGAGAAAATACTTTCTTTTTTAAATCTGAAAAAAATTTTAAAATATGCAATTTAAAAGAAGATGTTGATTTAAAATATAAACGATGGGTTGCTTGTAAAATTCAACTCAAAGCAGTTAAATTTTTATTTTTTCACAGGTCTTATTGAAAAAGATATTGTATGAAGAAAAAAGTGCTTAAAGAAGTGGTTTTCACAAAGATTTTAATTCATGATAACGATTCCCGATTAAAGAATAAAAATGTAATTTTAATGTGCTTTTTGTTTGAAATAAATAAGCATATAATATGAATTCTCTTATATTTATTAAACCCATATGGGCCCCGTATAGAAACCGCGGCCAAAATCCGGCGAGATCCCGGAGGGCTTTCCCATATGGGTCCCAGTTGTATATCTATACGGGACCCTTATGGTTTAAAATGCGGGATCTTAATGGGACCCACACGGGTTTCCCGGCGGGCAAACCAATATGGGCCCCGGATGGAAACCGCGGCCAAAAACCAGCGGGACCCCGGAGGGCTACCCATATGGGGCCCAGTTGATGACCCATACGGGTCCCGCATGGTACCCGTATCATAATGCTGGCAGGGTAATAATCTACCGCGAGGTATTATTCCACGGTATCGTGGAAACCGTCTTCATATTCTTTTTCATACTTGTTTTATATTTATACAGCATTATAATGCTTTTCTAAAGTATCTGACTACTGGAACATTGAAATGTTCTAGTTTGCAACCACTTCTGCGAGCAGCATTTTGTAATGAGTTTCATTACGATAAAACAAATGGGTGTGCTTGCACTTTTTGGAAAATCACTTACTGGACCATGGATGACTAAATGTATCCAGGTATCCAGGTAATAAAAGATGTATTAAAAACAATTACTACTTGCAAATCTAATCCGACTGCGTTATTTTCCAGAAATACTGATTTATTTGGGAAACAGCTAGCTCCAAATTTTTAAATTTAATTACAACTTTATGCTTGATTGATGCCCAGCTTATCAAAATGACTTATGATTGTCTTGTTGCAGTCGAGAGTGTCTTGGTTCGACAATATAAAAGATATCTCTCTCTTTCTATTACAGCGACACTCAAGGAGGAGACAGCTAGTGCAAGACTTCACAATACAGATAGTGAAGAATTAATGGGTATGTTTAGCGATGCCAAAGGAAGATGACCTAATGCAACAATTTGTTTTATATCAAGCAAATTGAGATCTAAAAAGAATAGGACTATAGATTATGTAGATAATCTTGAAAAGGCATCTAGAGAAAAGGTAGTAAAGTGGTCTATTTACATGGCACGAAAAAAAAAGAATTATAACTCGACTAAAACGTCATGAAATTCGATTAGAAATTACTAATAAACTGTCATGAAAATGATGAAAATGGATGAAAAACAAAAGAAAATGGATGAAAAACAAAAAAAAAAAAAGCTAGAGCGTGAGCTCTCTATATTAAGTCTCGGTGAAATGATGCATAAATATAAACACTTATCTGCAACATCAACTAGCTATTTTTTTTTAATAGTTATTTTAAAATAAACTGAAAAGTTATAAGTCAAAAATAATAAACAATTATTACAATAATTTAAAGTATTAATTAGAAAAAAATTAAATAAATAAAAACAAAAAAAAGTAGTAAACAAAAAATTTATATATAATGATAACTAATATTTTAACATAATTAGTATAATAATTATATAAGTCAAGTTTTATGGCTTGCAAATAAGTACCGCAAGTTTTGTGGCTTGCAAATAGGAACAGCAAGTTTTGTGGCTTGCAAATAAGTATCGCAAGTTTTGAGGCTTGTAAATAGGTACAACAAGTTTTGTGGCTTGCAAATAGGTACAGCATACAGATAGACGGCTCTGGCTTACCTTCACGTGGTGTCTATTGTTAAAAATGATTTATTTAATTGCATTGGAACTTAAAATTAAAATCATTAACAAAAAGCCAAGACATGAAATAATACTATGTTTCAAAACTTTTTTTTTTTTTTTCAGGTTGGTGGGTTAAATATGATCATTTAAATGAGAAAATGTATACTCGTGCAACTTGTAATCTGGTAAAACAATTCTGTATTGTGCTTTTTTTTTAATAATTGCATGTGAAAATGTTGAAAATATCATTTCTATGTGTTTTCTTTTTTAGATTGGTTGAGGGGAAGTGGGAAAACCATCCCTTTCCTCATATTGTAAAATACTAATGTATGTTCTTTAGTAGAACACACTATAATAATAATAAAATATAAACATTGGTTTATGTAATACAACAATATTTTCATTACTTGTATGTTGTATAGTTATAAGTGCTAAATTTTTCCTTTTTTAACAATACATTTGATTATTGAAATAAAGATGACGTAATTTTTTGTTAGGGGGGGAGGTGGTGCGTCATACTCCCTTCATCTAAAATCAATGTGTGCATCAATTCTATATGTTGAATAGCAATAAAAGATTATTTTTAATTTTTGGCAATATATTAAATTATTATAATAAAGATAAAGGGGTGCAGGGAGGGGGAGGTGCGACATACGCCCTCCCCTAAAGTTAGTGTGTACCTCACTAATGTATGTTTTATAGTAAAAAAAAAGTATTTTTACTTTTTGACAAGATATTTAATTACTGTAATAAAGATTAAATTATTTATTAGAATGTATGATTATTGTATTAGGGTGTTATAACATCACAACCACATCTATGGCCAGCTCTAAGATCACCTTATTTTGTTTGGCAGTGTTCTGGAATCAAGTTATGGCAATATTTTGTGTATAAAATATTACAATTACATTAAAAAAATGCTTGTTTCTGACAAAAACTTGTATTTTCTTAAGGGTTAAATGGTGTTTCATTACCTCCTCTGGCTCCCAAAATACACCCTATATCCAGGCACCTATATGAACTTGTAGCCCATTAGTGCACCTATCTTTTGATACCAAGATATAGGTATTTGGATAAAAATTGACAAAGTTATAACAATTTAAATGAAAAAAATAACTATTTTGACCACAGTCTCTTCAACAATTCCATATATCTTAAATTTGGTACTAAAAATGTATTACTTTTTTATAAATTGTTCGTTTTTAATAATTTTTTTACCTTTAAAATACTGTATTAAAGGCCTTTCTAATGATATATAACATTCTACTATATGATCAATTTAAAAATTTCGGTGCGCGTGCCTACCTTAAGAATTATTGATCTGCTGCCCCATTCCAAATTGTTCAGTGGAAAGGTATTTTTCAATTTAAAGAATTTTAAAGGTCTTTCACAGTTTAAAAAAGTCATACCTCAGGAGCCAAAACAACTGAAGAACGTTCATATTGTTTAGCTATTTTGACAATTGCGACAGATCTAACCAATAAATTTAGGTACGCGGAAATCGCGATTTACGGAACCGATTTTTATGCTAAAATTTTGGTTCTCGTTTTTTTCACTCTTTTTTATGCAGCGTGAGGCAGACGTAGTTTTAAGTGGTTTCTTTTTAGAAACATATATAGACATAAATACCTTTTGGAAAGAAAAAAAGTTAATCTTGATTTTTGAAATACTTTTATGTATGGTTACTAAACTTTATTATGGAATATTTTGCTCCTGAATATTAGGTTGATGTTCTCTCATGAATTTGTGGTCAAAGAAATGTAGAGTCTGCTTTTTTTATTATTAAAATAGCTTGTTTCATGCATTTTCTATGCACATGCCAAATTTCATCAAAAAATAAGGATAAGCAATTAGTCTAATTAGTGTTATACCAAGTATACCACTTTTTTCAGGTAGCCCTAGGCAAACGGTTTTTTGAGGTGGTTATTTTCAGAAACATATATTAACCTTGACGACTTTTGAAAGAAGAAAGATTTGGCTTGATTTATATAAGCTTTTGTGTATTGCTAACATACCTTTTTATGGAGTATTTTGCTGAGAATTTTGCATGGAAATTTGGCTGATGTTGTAACATAGATTTGTAGTTGAAGAAATGTAGAATCTGCTTTTTTTATTATTAAAATAGTTTTTTTCATGCATTTTCTATGAACATGCCAAATTTCATCAAAAAATAAGGATAAGCAATTAGTCTAATTAGTGTTGGACTTTAGGTACCTAATTTCGATTTTTTTGTTGTTGTTTTTTTTGGTAAGCAAAATCCGGTAGGCGCCGAAATCCGAATAAGGGGGCGTTTCAAATAAAAATCTTATTTTGAATTATTGTGATATATATTATTAGATTTAAAAAAATATGGCAACATATAGCAAGAGTGTGTTAGATGCCCTAACAGAAAGTAAGTTCAATTTTTTTTTATTCTTAATAATAGTATTAATAACTTTTTAACTCCAAAAAATAATGATTAACGTAAAAACTTCATTGTTTTTTATGTAACATATTAAAAAAGATTAATGTTTAAGATTAAAACTGTTGGTATTCATTGAATAATTCATAGTCACAGTTTTAATTTTTTTAAACACTAAAAATTTTTTTTGTTAGGCTTACACTAATGCAGTATGTAATTTACTCATTTATATGTGGTTTATAATAGCCTATTAAAACTGATTGTCACTTGTTAGATTCAGTTCACAATTTATTAAAACATTACATATAAACAATTTTATTACATACTTCATTACGTTAATCTTAACAAAAAGCTTCTTTTTGTTTTTAAAATATAACAAAAGATATCATTATTATTGTTTTTTACCATATTTGGATTATATACTTCTTTATCTATGGATTAGTGTTTAAATCATTATACAAGCATGTCTAATATTTATTTCTTGTTTAGATCTTGCCCAGCTTTTTGTTGAAGTTTCGTTAGTATAAATCACATAAAGTTTAAATTTTATATTCACTAAGAGATAAAGTATACAATAAGTAAATATTAATAAACATTTATAATATCTTCCTATCTATAGTAAGTCTTAAAAAAACTAGAGTTAATTTTTTTACTTATTGTATATCATCTTTTTATGTGTTTATTGTTTACATAAGTTTATAACCATTCCTTATGTTAACTTGTTGCTTATAAATATATTATCTTTATATTTTAATAGTTATATTTAGTTGTTTATTTTCATTTTTTTAGTATAGTTGTTGCATCTTAAGTAGAAAATCTTTTAACTTTAGTACAGCTTTTAACATTTGTAACTTACTGTTGACAATTTTAAATTATTTTGTGCACAAAGTTTTTGTTATTTTTAGTCGAATCTACACAGCCCATCACTGGTAAGATTTTATCAGTTTGTGTATGCTAATGATTATAGAATTAGCTATTACTTTTTATTCTGTAAATAAATTTGAAAGATTACCCATTTCAAAGTCCTTATTTGCAATATTTGTTTCTAATTACAAATTTTGAATTTTAGTTACATCTTTATCTTCAACAAATGGTAAATTTAACAATTATTACTTTTTAATATTTGTATATATTTTTGATGACTGCAGTATAAATTTTTTATTAAATAATTCTTAACCTTAGTTCCTTCTACATCTGCTATAAGGGGTATGTTAACTAATTTTTACTTTTCAAAATGTTTATACATATCTTGGCAATTTCAGTAATTATTTTTAATTACAACTTTGATAATATTTAGTTACATCTTTAGCACCTACTAAAACTAGTAAGTTTATAAACTATTATTTGCAAATGTTTACTCACCTTTCTTATCAATTGCAAATTTTTATAGAAACTTTTTTTATTTTTAGTTCCATGTGTTTAACCTCCTGCTGGTAAATTTATGATTTAAAAACGTTTTTAAATGATTTTTTAATTTATGTTTATACTTATATACACTATTTAATGCATTAGTATTGTGTTATCCCTCAAAGTGCAGTAAAATAAAATTATTACTCTCATGAACATTTTTTACGGTATCATTGATTTATACGTTGTTCATGTTATTTATTAAGCCTATCACTTTTACAATTAATTGTTTAATATTACATTTTAAAGCAGCACAAAATTGACTACTGTTACATTTGTAACTACATTAACATTTGTTGACAATTTCAAATTATTTTGTGTACAATTTTTTTTTTTTTTAGTCGAATCTACACAGCCTATTACAGGTGAGTTTGTATTAGTTTGTATATGCTAATAATTATAGAATCAGCTAGTACTTTTTGATCTGTGAACAGATTTCAAAGATTACCAGTTTCAAAGTCATTATTTGCAATATATATTTTTTATTACAAATTTTGAATTTTAGCTACATTTACGTGTTCAACGAATGGTAAGTTTAACAATTATTACTTCTTAATATGTGTATATATATTCCTGATGAATACAATAAAAATTTTTTATTAAATCATTTTTAACCTTAGTTCCTTCTACATCTGCTATTTGTGGTATGTTTACAAGTTTCTACTTTTTAATATGTTTATGCATATCTTGGCAATTACAGTATTTATTTTTAATCACAACTTTGATAATCTTTAGTTACATCTTCTGCGGCTTCTATGACTCGTAAGTTTAAAAACTATTATTTGCAAACATTTACGCATCTTTCTTATCAATTGCAAATTTTTATAGAAACTTTTTTTATCTTTAGTTCCAGGTATTCAACCTTCTGCTGGTAAATTTATGATTTAAAAATGTTTCTTAATGATTATTGAATTTATGTTTATATTTATATACACTATTTAATGCATTAGTATTGTGTTATCCCTCAAAGTGCAGCAGAATGAAATTATTACTCTCATTAATATTGTTTAAGTTATAATTGATTAATACGTTGTTCATATTATTTATTCAGCCTATCACTTTTTCAATTAATTGTTATATATTAAATTTTACATAATGCCATTCAGTACTAATCTATTAACAAATCATTGTCATTTAGAGCTAACCTACCAAGACTACCTATTATATAGGTCCCAGCATCCTGGACCCACCAGCAATAGTTCATTTAAGCGATGAGTCCAGTTAGGAGGAATTTAGTTTCCTTCTTGGAATTTTAAACAATATCATTTACTAAAAGCCAAGACTTAAATTTATTATATTTTGTATTTTGAAACTTTTTAAAATATAAGTTTTAAAATTAGTTTTATCTTTGGCCTATTTTTAGGGTGGATACTCCAACTTGCATTTTGTAATGTGGTAAGATTAGAAAAGTTATGTCTCTTTAAATGAACATAATTTAAAAACATTTACAAAATTTTTATTGACATTTTTTGCAAGTTTGAATGAGAAGGGGAGGGGGGCGTTGGGTGTAGCACACATTCCTAACTGTACTAACATATTATAATAATCTTGAATACTTGTTTCTCTTTTCCAATAAACTTAATTTAAAACTATTTTTCAAATATCTTTTAAAATTTTTTTTTAGGTTGGATACAACTGGGCAGGAAGGGGGGCGTTTGACGTGGCACATGTCCCGTCCCTTATGTCAACTTATACACCACTTGTATATGCTGTAAAGTAAGAAAATTTAATTTAAAATTTTTCATACAAAATATAATCATTGTTTTTTAGGTTCAAATATTTATAACAATGTAGCATTTCACTGCGAGGGTGTTAAAACGTAACAAAGACATCAACACTTCAATCTAAAATAGACCACTAATATTTGGAAATGGATTGGAAGCAAATTGGAACAATTTTTTGTATAAAGATGACATATTTTATCAGAAAAACACTCTTTCGTGTGAAAAACTTGTCTTTTTTTAAGGGTACGAGGGTGTTTCGGTACCCCCTCCGGTCCTCTAGACGCCCCTTTCATCTATAGAGTTATATGAACTTGTAGCCTACTCTTACATCTATCTTTTGATGCCAAGGTATAGACATTTGGATAAGATTTGACAAAGTTATAACAATTTTAGTGGGAAAAAAAATAATTTTGGAACCAGTTTCTTCAATAAATCCATATATCGAAAATTTGCTACTAAAAACGCTATAACTTTTTATAGAATTGTCCGATTTTCATAATTTTTTCACCATTAAAATACTGTATTAAAGGGCTTTCTAATGATATATAATATTCTAGTATTTAATTAATTTAAAAAAATCAGTCCACGTACCTAAATAAATTGAATTATGATGATTTTATCAATTTATTTACCAATCAAAAAGCTCGACGTAGACTTAAAGGACTATAACTTGATAATTTTTTTTTATATTATTTGATTATGCCTAACTATTTCAATATCTTATTTCAGATAACTAGAATATTAATTTGATAACTGCTTATTTTTCTAAAACCAATACTATTGATTTAAATTAGGAAGGGAAGTACGGGGAGGAAAAATTATTTTGACTCTGGGCGCCAAATCTCTAAATACGTCTCTGTTTGTAAATATATAACAACATATATAATAACAAATTATATAATAACAATTATATAATAAATATATAACAAATATATAATAACAGGCATGCACGTGATACTTCAAGGTTTAGCTTTCCATAAAATTTAACCTTATCTAGATATCAGTAAACCTTATCTAAATATCTAACTTTCACTCTACGCAACTCTAGTCCGAACAAAAATTTAAAAAAAAGAATTTTTTAGAATCAAACCCGATTTAGTTACTTAAATATTGCGTATTTTTGCATAGGATACCTAAACAACTACGTAAAGTAATGTAAATCATTTAACAATATGACATCTACAACAAGGTATTTTCTGTAAATCAATTCAAAATAGTTTTAATAATAATAATAATAGTAATAATAGCAAAAATATATAATAATAACATAAGATAAAAGTATAATTATACTAATTATAGTAATAGCAACAATAAGTATTTTTACAATAATACAATGAAAAATAATAATAACTAATATTAATACAGTAATAAGGCAATGATTTATTAGGATGGTGTCACTCATACTGAAATCTGATCAAAGGAGTGACACCAATTTTTAAGTAATAATAAGCAAAGACGCACACTGAACATGGATTATAAACATTCAAACCAAACCACATAAAATATATACATCAAATCAAACATGTAGAAATCAATTTGCAGGTTTTACTAATCTGATAATATGAATACGCTAATTTAATATTATTATTATTAGTCGAGTTACGTCATGTTCTAGGCTTTTCTATACGCGGTTTTTTTTTTATTTTTATTTACTAACAACGCGTATTACGGGTTGCTTACTGCTAGTAAAAAAAATTATAAAAAAGTGCCGATGATAATTGTAATAAGTACGAAAAGAAAACTGAAACAATATTAAAATCATAAAGATAATAATGTCAAAAAGCTAAAATAAAATGTTTTTTAGAATTTCTTAAAATTGATATTGTTTAAGATGGTGTACAGGTATTTTAGGATATATTTTTTTAGACTCATTCAAAATGCATGCATGGCTCCTGTACCATTCACAGACGCACTGATAAACAATAGAACGTTTACCATACTTCTTGGTTTTAAAAGATGGTACATTCAGTTTTCCATTATGTATATTTCTAGTAGAGTAGGAATGTAATAGTCTACTTTTTGTGAAAAAGTTTGTGAAGGAGATGGTATATTTTTATACAAGGAGTCAAAAACAAAAAGAAGATTAGTATACTTTACTAGCGCTGGAAATGTTGAAATGAAAATATTTTTGAAAGACTTTGATGTATCTGATTTAATTGGTTGGAAATTTATTAATCTGATGGAGTGACGCAGAGACGATAGAAACTTGTTAATGCGATAGTTTCCAACTTGACCCCAAACTTGAAAGCATACCGTTAGCTCGAGATTTCATGCGTAGTTCATCAATACAAATGTTCCATGAAAGATTACAATCAATTAATACACCAAGATATTTAATAGCTCTTGAAGGATATAGCCGTTTATTACTAATTTTGATTTTAATTTCAACATTTATAAAGAAATTGTTTTTTCTTAGAGATAAAAAAATGATAAGTTCAGTTTTTTCGGTGTTAAGACATATTAGGTTAGCATTTAACCAGTGAACTATACCTTTTAGATCCGAATTAACATTTTTACTTAGAGAATGATACGATTTGTTGATGTGCAAGAGATTTGTATCATCAGCAAACAGATGGTCTAAAGAAAAGTGAACAGAGTTGATTAGGTCGTTAACGTAGGTGAAAAACAAAAGAGGACCTAGAACAGAACCTTGAGGAACACCCCACAAAACTGATTTATAACTAGAATTGAAACCATTATTACTTACAAAATGTTTTCGATCTGCAAGATAAGATCGAAACAATACCGCAAATTCCATTTTTTAATTAATAAATCAAAATACTATGGTCAACAGTATCGTAAGCTTTTTGTAAATCGATAAAAACACCACAAACGAATTGACCAGTATCAAGAGCATTCCTGATTTCTTCCCTTATACTTATTGTGTCTGCATGGTATAAATAATTTATTGAAATTGGGACAAATACAAAAGTGATCAGAAGTTGTCAAATTTCCTGAAACAATTTCATTAGCTATTAAACTAGAGAAAATATTATCAATAATTGTGGCAGAGTGATCAGTAATTCTAGTCGGCAAGGTAATAAAAGGGTGAATATCATAAAAAGAAAATAAGTTTAAAAAATCAGATGTCGCTATGTCAGTATTTGATTGCATCAGATCAATATTATAATCACTAAGCAAGAAAACAGATTTTTTTTCAGCAGATATTTAATTGCTTGTTCTTAATAGATAATTAAGAACAACCAATTAAAGTATCAAAAAACTAAGCAATATAATAAATAATATAATGGTAGTTAAACAATAACGAAACAGCCAAACAAACAATAAACTATATCAAAAACAAAAATTTTGAAGAAAATTATAAAATCAGATTAAAAGAGTATAAAAACTGATTAAAGTTTAGAGAAATACAAATTAAAAAATACAATAACTATAATAAAAATAAATATTAAATATCATATAATAAAATAAGTAATCTAATAATAAATTGTAGTAGTATAAATAAAAATAATAGTGTAATATTTAAAATAAGTTAAAAAACAATAGATTTAATAAAAACTATAAAAATTATCTAATCTTTTAAGAAACTGATCTTCTCTTCTGATCTTCTTATTAACTTATCAACTTATCTCATTTTATTTAACTATTTTTTTTTTCTTTTTCTTTATTTGTTTAGAAAAAAATCGGTATTCGAATTTTCTTTTATTTGTTTTTTTTTAAATATAGTTTTTGAGTGTTTCTTTGTTAAAGTTAATTTTTTTATAATATGTTTTTTTTTGTTTTACTCTTCTTTTATTTTGATATTTTTTCTTTATTTGAAACAATTAGTAATTAATTCAGTTTTTAATTGCCTTCCTATATTTCCTTTTTCTTTTTCAACGGTTAAAAAAACACGACCGCCATCTGCGATGACCTTGCAAAGAAAAAACAACACACTCCTGCTTCTACACCATCACCACCACCTAACTCAATAGCAATTATTTACTTGTGCAATATACTTTATAATAGTCGCAATAGAATATTTGTTTATTTCTCAAATTATTTGTTCATTTCTCAGAACGACTCAGAATATTTGTTCATTTCTCAGAACGACATCAATTCATCTGTCTCATCAGTCTTAGAGACGTTCAAATTAATTCGTTCAATGTGTGATATGTATTTTCTACCTGCTGTTGCCGGCCAGTCAATCTAAATACCGAAAACTCAGCTATGCCAACAGTTAAGTATTTAAACAATAAAATTAATTTAAAGTTAAATTAATAAAAGTTAAAGTAAAAAAACACAAGTTAAAATAAAAGTTAAAGTAAACTATGCTAAAACACTTATGTGGTACTTACGTGTCAAACACTTATGTAGGTACGCAGACTGATCTTTTTAAATTAATTAAATACCAGAATATTATATATCATAAGAAAGCCTTCAAATACAGTATTTTAAAGGTAAAAAAATTATGAAATTCGGACAATTTAATAAAAAGTTATAGCGTTTTTAGTAGCAAGTTTTCGATATATATATATATTTATTGAAGGAACTGGTTCCAAAGTTTTTTTTTCTCACTAAAATTGTTATAACTTTGTCAAATCTTATCCAAATGTCTAAACCTTGGTATCAAAAGATAGATGTAAGAGTAGGCTACAAGTTCATATAACTCTATAGATAAAAGGGGTGTCTAGAGGACCGAAGGGGGTACCGAAACACCCTTGTACCCTTAAAAAAAGTTTTTCACACGAAAAAGTGTTTTTCTGATAAAATAAGTCATCTTTATGCACAAAAAATTGTCCTAATTTGCTTCCATTTCATTTCCAAATATTAGTGGTCTATTTTAAATTTAAGGTTGGATGTCTTTGTTACGTTTTAACACCCTCGTAGTATAAATATTTGAACCTGAGAAACAATGATTATATTTTGTATGAAAAAGTTTAAATTAAATTTTCTTTCTTTACAGCATATACAATTGATGTATAAGTTGACATAAGGGACGGGACATGTGCCACGCCAAACGCCTTCCCCCCCCCCCTGCCAAGTCGTATCCAACCTTAAAAAAAAATGTTTAAGATATTTGAAATTTGCTCAATAGTGCAACGATAACGAATATTCGTATAGTTAAAATCCAAATATTGCCCAATTTTTGAAACTAGGAATTGAATGTTATCTGTTAGAACATTAGCCTAATAACATGCTATAGATTATCATCCTTATTTTTAAAGAGTATTTCTTATCGCCTTCTGACGTATTAAAATTTGGCATTTTTCCCTTTTTTATCTGCAACATGTCATTTTCTAATTGAGCAATCAATATTTTGTTAGACTTACCATCAGTATTATGCGTTACTTTTATTTGCATTAAGTTTTGTTTTTGTTTTACTTTTAACTCCTTTGTTTTTGCTTAAAGATTAATTAATCAACTGTAATGATGTTTTTTTTTTTTTTTTTTTTAGATCTCTAACTTCTGCCCTCAAAGCTTTAATAATATCTTATTTTCTTTGCATATTTTTCTTAATTAATTTTAATTTATATGGCAAGCTATGATATTTAGATCGAACTTAATCTATATCTATCCTGTGTTCTTTAGATGAGCTAGCTAACTTAGAAAATAAATAAGATAACCTAGATCTCAGTTAGGCTTCCTTCGGGGTTACTTCTCTAGATGCATGCTCTCCTTTTTCATTTTCTAAGCAACTTACGGGCTTTCTAAGCAACTTACGGGCAAAAAAGGCTTGCCATTAACTAAAGGTAAAGTAGCAATATGTTTATGTGCTGTGACAGCACGGAAGCCCCTGAAACATTAATCAATGAACTACTTTGATAAAGATGAATTGCTTGCATCGTTGGCACGTTTGATGCATGGTATGCAAAGGGCTGATTACAAAAATTAATAAATTTTGAACAATCTCTTTCATAATGGGTAGTCCATTTTTTTGCAATGTTAATAACCTTATAAAGTCGACGTTTACTAGTTTTTAAGCTAAATAACTCATTGACTTGTCTAATTAACTCACCGTTATTAGTTAATGAAAGGATTATATTTCCATTTTGACATTCCGTTTATGTTTCGTCTTGCAAACTGAAGTACAAAGCTAAATCTTTTTTCACTGCATCCGAAAACACAATTTTTGTACCTATAATGGCTCTTAAAAGTATACAAAAAAAAGTTAATTTATTATAGTTTGAATAAACCAACAATATATAATAATTTGAAAAATTAATAAAGTTATAAATAATGTAAAAAATGTATCAAATTATATAAACTTGAAAAATCTCATACATACCTTCTTTAAACAAGTAACGTTTACAATAAACTAGTATTTCAAGCTCAATAGCGCAAATATAATTTTTAGGAACTGTAAACATAAGGAAGGCTAATTTAAAATCAAATAAACAGTTTAAGTATACTAAAACAATAATAGTAAATAAGTATGCAAAATAATCATCGCATTTATTAACATTAGAAATATAACACATAAATTTAACATTGCATCTAATGTGGGCGACGAAGTTCTAAAAAAACCCTAATTCTATTAAAAAGACTAAATCTATCCTTAGTTTAAATCGTACAGGTTTTTATACTACAACTTTGGAAAAGTTATAAAGTATTTCATTAAGACTATTACCATATTTTGCTTTTAAATTTTTTGGGTGAAGTTTTGAATGAAAACAATGCAAATGTTTATAAGTGTTAAAATTGGGAAATTGTAATTGAATTAGGTAGGTGTAAAAATTGGGAAAACAATCTTGAAGATATTCAATATATACTTCCTAAAGAAAAGGAATGGTGGTGCCTGATAATTATAATTGTCACCATAGACCACTAGGCTACGACCATTCTACCTTCTCCCTCTGCTTCCTCTATCATTTTTCCATCACTTCCCCCTGCCACGACCTCGATCACCTCTCCTTCTGCTGCAGTTCCCAGCACCCAAGTTATTTGATGATGATAGGACCATTTGAAAAAATTATTGTCTTTTCCTCCTAACTGGACCCATCGCTTATTGGAGCTATTGGTCGTGGGTCCAGGATGCTGGGACCTATATAAGAGATACATATAGATAACTATACAAGAGATCTTGGTAGGTCATTGTCTCTTAAAAAAAATAACTTAAACTGAATACAAAGTTAAAAGTTTAGAAATGTTCAATAATGGAAAATAATAATAAAAATAAACAACAAATTTTACTCCCAGAAAAAAAAAATTTTAACTGTAGTTTTTTTAATCATTTTCGTGCACTGTTTATATTGTAATGCATTTTTGTGCTTAGTTTAAATTGTCCTGTATTTTACATTGTTTATTTTATGATGTATTTTTGTGCGCTGTTTGCATTGTTTATTTGTTGTTTTTGTTTTTTGTTTTTGTATTCTTGTGTATTGTTCAGTGGGCAATATAGTAAATAGTTCATATTGTTATATGTTTTACTGCATTGTTTGCATTGGTATGTATTTTTTATTTATTTAAATGTTGCTAACTTTGTGTAGTTAGCTATTGTGTTTATAACAACAAGTGACTTATTGTTTTTATTATTATTATTATTATTATTATTATTATAACTATTATTATTATTGTTAATGATTTTGTTATTAAGTTTTATTATTCTTGTAGTATTAAGTTTTAGTATTATTTTATTATTAAGTTTTATTATTATTGTAGTTTTTTTTGTTTAATACTCTAAACACTATTTTTATTATTATCATTACTATTTTATAATTATTATTGATATATATAAAGATCTGTATTTTTAGTGTTTACTTAGGGTTACTAAAATTACTATTTGTAAATATCCATGAAAATATTTTTCGGAATATATGATCGATTGATTATAATATGAATATATGATATATGATCGATGCATCAAAATATTAAATAATATATAACATATATACTAATAGTTATTTTTTTTTTTTTTTTTTTTTAAAGCTTCATTTAAGTAAAAATAGATATTCCAATTATTCTATCTACTCATGGTCATGATCAAATGTGGCGTGAGACTCAGCGTGTTACTTTAGATGATTACACTGATGTGGAGTGTGTCTAAAAATTTCGTTTGCCTAAAAAAACATAAGAGATATTGTCAACACATTACACAATGATATGTCACCAATCACATCCAGAAGTGCTAATATTACTAAGGCTTTTATCAAGTGGGAGTTTTCAAAGAGTAATTGGTAAGTTTTGTAGTCAATGCAAAGAAAATTAGCAATAAAAAGATATAATTTTATGATTCTGTATTGTTAAATATGCCTTTCGTTAATGAACTATTAGAAATTGAGCTTAAAGGTGTTATTTTGTAGAGAAAGTTTAAATTTCACTTTATTCCTTTTTTCAGTTTATCAGTTAATAAAAAATTTAACAAAACCTTGTCTTTTTAACTTAACATAATGAAATAGATAGATTAATTTAATCCATAATTAGCTCTTTTATAGTTGTGTTCCTAACTGTGATTTTGTATTTTGCAGACTTTTTGTAAGGTGTAGCTGTATTTTGTAAGTTTATTCTGTCAAAATTCATTTTTCTCTCACATCACCTGTTATGCTTTTATTTAATTTAAAGTATAATGATCCATAATCGTATTTGGCTTACATATTGTTTCATATAACTTTAGGTGACACCTCTTATGTAAGCCAGCCGTAGACTTCGCCAGTTTTGCAAGTATTTTATCCACCACTATCGCTACCTTGTCAAATGGTATGAAAGTCCAGAAGAAATGATGGAAATAAAGAGAAAGTTCTTTCAATCATATGGAGTTAAAGGTCTTCTTGGAGTAGTAGATGGAACGATGATACAAATTAAAGGAGCCACTGGGCCTGATGAGCCAGCATATATTTGCAGGTAAATTAATCATTCTAATTTAATATCTTATTTTTATTGTATCATTTTAGGTTAATATATTAATGCAATTTTATTATTAAATTTTTTAATTTTTTAAATTGCACATCGTAGTTCTTTAAAATTTAAAAATGTTGATTCAATTAATAGATTAATATAATATAAATAATAATAGGTCATATACAAAATAGTTTGTTTTTTTCTGTCAAAGGTTATACCAGGTTGTCAGTCTAACATGTTACCAATATTTCCCAAAAAGTTTTTTATTTAACTGTTCTCTGAACTTATATATAAACATTTTTAAATTTTTTAAGTCTTATTTTATAGAAAAAGATATCCTGCTTTAAACTGTCAAGTTGTGATTGATCATGATGGGAAGTTTAGTGATGTTGTTGTAAAGTATCCTGGATCCTGTCATGATGCTTTTATTTTTTCAAATTCTGCATTAAAACAGACATTTGAAGATGATCCTAGTGCAGGTTTTCTTTTTGCAGATTCCGGATAGCGGTTGTCACCTGTCATGATTACACCGTTTAATCAGCCAACTACACCACAGGAAATTTATTTTAATGAAGTTCATTCTCAGTAACGTAGTAATGTGGAGCGATCACAGGAAATCTATTTTAATGAAGTTCATTCTCAGTTACGTAGTAATGTGGAGCGATCCATTGGTCGTTTAAAAAGCCGTTAGAGATGTTTGCACAAAACTGGTAGAGCACTTCAGTACACCCCAACAACTTGCTGCAAAATATTTTTTAGAAAACCTTTGCTATTGCTTAGGATTGGAATTTCTAGATGACATCAACTTTGAGGATAACGAGGAAGATAATTTACATAATATTCAGACTGAGTTTTCACATGCCAACCAAATACAACTTGGTATTTAACGAAGAACAGAAATCAAAAATTATTTGTTTGCAAATGTAAGGCAATGATATATTATTAAATTTGACATGGATGTCTGCAGGATTTTTTTAATTTTTAGATAACACTTTAAGGCATTGTGTAAACTCTAAACTAAACTTTGTTCATGTATATATCAAATTGCAAATATTTTGGAAAAAAAAAAGCAGTAAATTGAGTCTGGTAACATAAATATGTATAAATATTTTCCTCAAACCGCCACCCCCTCATTGCATATTTTTTAAGCATTATAAGTATGAATAGTTTACTTTATCTAATTTGGTTCAAATTTGTAGGAAACATGATGCAATGATAAAAATAGTGAGATTTTCAGGATTTTTATTTCTTCGAGATGCGAAAGAAGCATTTTTTACTTTTAAAACCCGTTATTTTGAATTAGTTTTTTGGTGGTTTGTCTTATTGAAACTAGGCAATTTCTTTAGTTTTAAAATTTATTTTATGCTTATAATAACTCGTAAATACATTTATTGAGTTTTAGATTCAGCCGAAGTAATCGTTTCCAGTGAACAAGCGATTCTTTTAGCAGAGCTGACTAAACTTTCTATTGAAGATGCTATGCGTGTCAATGTTTCAGCTATACCTTCAAAGATTAGGTTATCTCTTGGAATAGAACGACCTAGAGCAACAATTTCTTCTCCAATTTTTGACATGCTATTCATATATTCATCAACATTAGATGATGACAGCTTTCTGCTTGTAGTTTTATTCGCTGGCTTTTTATTCTACAAATGTTTTTATTTTTTTGGTTTGAATTAAGTATAAAAAATAACAAAACACATCACATAGAAAAAAAATATTTAGCCTTTTAAGCATTTATACAAGTAAAGAATTTTATTAGCTAAAATAAGAGATTTTATTCACTATAATTAGAAAAAGTAAGCATTATAAAAAGCCTCTCCTTTTGTTATATAAAGAGAAACTTTTTTTTTTGTATATTTTTGTGGATCGTAAAAATATTTTTTTTCTTATTGGCATTTAAACTAAAGCTATATTAATTTGTAAAAAAATTTTTTTTAAGTATAATAAAGTACCTTTTTTTTGAAGTAGTAGATAAAATACCTTTTATTTTTAATAACGGATTTTCAGGAACAGTTTCATTTTGTAATAACAACGCAGGATCTGCAGATGGTGAAGAATTTGCCGGGCGAACTTCAGTTGTTGAAATATCAGACGGAGTCATTAACTGAGGAAATGGCGATGAAGAAAATGTAGATAAAGAAGATAAAGTTCGTTGTAAAGGAATTTTCCTTTTTAAAAATAAAAGTTTTGATTCTTTTAATATTTATAAACAGACTTCTTGTTGAACAAAATAATCAACTCTTTTTATATCAAACAAAAGTTCAAAAGAAGATAAAATTAAAAAAAATAATAAAATGTCAAAACAAGAATAGAACAATTGCTCTTTGATATAATTTACATATAAAGAATTAAGTTTTTATATTTTTGATCTTTATAAAAGAATAATATTTACCCTAACATAGTCCTCTTTGTCACCAGGCCGTTGAATACGTATTTTGCTATTTTCATTAAAACACTCTGTGTTAAATATTTCAGACATGGTTTCGCTTTTTTTCATCAAAAATAAAATAACATTAAAGTCATAGGAGAATATATAGATTAAAATATTTTCGTTTGTCCATTAGGCGCTAAAATAATACTTTAAATAATAACTTTACCTCAATAACCTGTGCATCTATTTTTTCTACGGGTTGCAGTAGATATTTATTAGTTATCATGTCAAAGTTAACGTCCTCATCGTGATCTATTCTGCACTGCTTATGTGTGTCAATGACTCCTGGAATTCCCTAAAATAAAAGCAATACTTTTTTTAAACCTGTAACTTTAAAAACAGATTTTATGGTTAAATATGAAAATTTAAAAGTTAAAGCTTTAAAAAAGTCAGTAGTTTCTGTTGTAACAATTTTTTCGAAGTCTATTTTACAAAATAAAAAAGTTAGAGATAAGATGGTAAAATTTAAAAGTATGTCCAAACATACCCATGTAAGAAACTTTTGGCATTTTGGTAACTAATACTTGATCAATTAAACTCAGTTCTTCATTGCTTCCCTCACCTCTTTTTGCATTGCTGCACTGTTCTATCGGAACTAATTTCAGAAAATTGGTCGGCAATTTTAGACCATACGTTATCTTTTGTTTATTTGAGACAGCTGGAACAAAAATTATAAGTTTTATACGTCTGTTAAACGCGCGTTATCTATTAAATTATTTTGGTGCTTCAGGAAGTCCTAACGATCTTATCATAGAGCACCGGGGAATAGCGTTTACCCAGGTAGTTTACGCCTTCTTCCTTACCAATGTACCAATGCACATATATTCAAACAACAAAATTCTGAAGCCTCTAATCACAACACAACTTACTATTAATACTAATTTAAAAATTAGAAAAACATTGTAAAAAAAATTTAAAAAACATTGTTAAAAAATTTTTTGAAAATCAAAACCAACACAAGTACATGTAAATGTTATTTGACAACACCTCATTTACCATAATATACTACATAATAATAAATGAATAATAAAAAATATTTAAATAAATTTATTCTAAAAATTGCGTGACTTACTTGCATATTGAACTTAAAGTTAAACCTCAGAAAATGTTTTTTACTTGTAGTTATAAATAAGATTTAAAGTAGAATAAATATGATTTATAGTGCATATGTTGAAAGTACTTAAACAAACATTAAAGCAGTATTTATATTAAATGGTATCAACCGAAATTAAAAAATCATCTTAGCAACTTCATTATTATAGATGCTTTTATCAATAATATTACTATTTATTATCAAAAAAATTAAATTAATTAGGATTTTTACGATGTAAAAGTTTTTTTAAAAATTATTTTATATTGAAGAAGCAATTTAAATATTTATCAGTATTAATAAATTTATCAGTATTAAATTTTTTTTTTAATTACAACGTTATATTATTCAATTTATGAGAGTTGAGAATTTGAGAATGGCTCGTTATTTTATCTAACAACTTTACACCTAAAAATATTCTGCTATATAAACTAAATAAATGCTTTTAAAGTAAGTAGATTGAAAATATTTATTTAGCTGTATAGCTCTATAATTCGAAAAAAATATTGTTGTCATTACATATAGCTGCAAAAAATTTCCAATAACAATAATAATCTTACCTTAGAAAATCAACTTTGCGTAAGTTTTTGCGTAAATTTTTGCGTAAGTTTTGCGCAACCCTAACTTTACGGAAATGCTGCGAAACTTTGATGAATACCAAAAACAACGATGAACGTACGCTTTCCGTAACCTTAACTGAGTTACGCAAAAGTTACGAATGTTTAGTGAATAGACGAAAGTTTAGTGAATAATCCATCATCAACTTCTTTGCTAGAGTAAACCTTATTCACTCCATGAGCAGAAAGAGGCTGTACGTATAAACTCAAATAAAACAGAGAGTCCTTTCTTCCTTGACAAATCTGAAAAAAGGTTAATACCCTTTTGTTGAAATTGAGGACACATAACATAAATTCCTATATGATATTTTCAAAAACAAAACTAACACGGTGTAACATATCCATTCGATTAGGTAATAAAGTAATTTTTCTTGAAATTGATGCTGATTTACTAAGGAAGTTTCTTTGATAAAGTTAAAGCATTAAAACTACTTGTCAAAATTGTGTTAATTACAAAATCATTTACAGAGACAATGTTGGATTCTTACGAAAGAGAACTTAAACTTCTGCCATGAAAACGTCGTTTTGTGAATATTCTTGACCCACATGTCAAGAATATTCACAAAGTATTATTTCAGTGTTTTTCCAGCATCAACTTTTTTTATTTTCAGTACTAATTATTATTTTCAAAATTTAAGTAATAACCATTAAGTTAAAAAATAATAAGTTATTACATAAGCATGACTCCTAGAAGGAATTAAATGTATTATGATTAATTAAAACCCAGATTATTATATAAATAAAAAATCTGCCAGCAGCAAAATGAAGCTTCTGATAAATTTTCAAATACAATTATGTTGCTACTTTTGTTTATACTTTAAAAATGCATGTGAATGCCCTGGGTTACTTTTAAAAGTGTACCAATGGTTAAAAAAAAGTAAAAATTCCTTTTTCTTAAAAGATCCAAGTTAAAAGCTCTTATAAAAATTGCTTAAATTGAGCGTCACATTTTTTTTTACCATCTATGTCTAATGATAAAACAATCTAATTTCTAAACATTTTTATGTAAAACAAATATCACAACCATTTTCTAAGTATACGAGATAGGGAAAAACTGTATAATGTAAAATTTTGAAATTTTTCATATTTCAAGGTTAACGCGAAAACCTTAAACGCGAAAAAAAAAAAAATTAAATTTTTTAGTAATAATTTAATAAGTTAATCATCATGTTCTAACATACCATTTTGAACGTCAAAACATGGTTTAAATTTTACGCAATAGCTTTTTAGGTGTGTCATAAGTAGCCTCATGGCATTGTTGACAGTTATACCTTGTTAATCGTTCATTTTGTGTGCATGTCTGGCATCTATTTTCTTTTATTTTTCTTTCTGATGTTATCTTGGCATTGTACTCAAATTAGGATTGTTCTAAAACGATGTAAACTATCACTGAGTACTTTTGGTAACCCTCCTATTTTTTTGCACTTCTTAAAATAAGTTCAAGCATCACTAATTCATGAGATAATCTCTTTAAGAAAACTTTTCTTCTAAAAACCGGTTGAGCGTTCCCAAAATATAATATTTGAAAGTCGATGCCACTTTTGTTTAACATTCTAAATATTACAATTGGCCTCCGGCGTACATTTCTTGAAACGCTGTACGACGCACATAACTGATCATTTGTGTCAAATCCTTCTTTAGTTTTGTGTTTACAACAGAAGGCTTAAGTCTGTCTGCAGTATTAAAATCTATTGAATCATCTTCGTTTAAACTAAATGCTTAAAGGATACATTTTCCTTTTTTTGAAACATAAGATACTAATATTTTTGGATTTTTTTCCTTTAATTTTAGAACATAAGATACTAATTTGGAACATAAGATAATTTACTGAACTTGGAATATTTTACTGAACTTGGAATATTATTGGAATAATTTACTGAACTTGGAAATGCTGCTTATAGTAGTTCTTATTTTCTATATGATAAATTCTTCTGGAACTTGACGTTCGTTTTTTCGAATTGTTCCCACATAGTTCAATCCTTTACTTCCTAATTGTTTAATCAGATCAACAATTATCAGATGCAAATCAGATGCAAACTAATTATCTGAAGCGGCATTTCGGCTGGATCTGTAATTAGTTTCGCAAAGTCTTAGCACAACATCTGCAAGTTTGTTGCTTTTCCGATAAATTCCTTCTGGCTGCAATCCAGCGTATATTGCTGAGTTCTATAGATAAAAAACCCGACAGTCAACGAGTGTGTAAATTTTAATTTTATAATTTTCGTAGTATTGTCTAAAATTGCAGTATTGTCTAAGTATTGTCTAAAATTGCAGTTACCTCGAAATGATTTTAATTTTTCATCAATACAAACGTTTTCCCCTAAGTTATAGCATTTTTTACAATTTCCTACAAACATTTCGAAGATATTCTGGATTGCTGCGAATATATCAGTCTCTCGTCTTCCATTACGATTTACTTAGAAAGTCGAATCGAAGAGAGCGCATAATAAATTTGAAACGTTTGATACTCATTTCAAAACCAAATTTTTCTATTCCATCCCTGTCTGATCCCCATAGATTTTTCAGACATTGCTTATTACTCAAATACAAACCAGCTAAAAATAAAAGCCTATAAATGCCCATTATTCGACCAAATCAAGTTTTTTTCATCCCTTTCTCTCTGAAATTGGTTTTTTAATGGTTTCAAAAAATTTTAAAGAAATTTTTAATGTACAAGATGTCATTTAGAATATTGTCACTAAACAGATAACTCTAACATTCAATAGGGAATTTTATCTGATTAGGTTATAGCTTCCAATACGCACTGGGCATTACAATGGGTTTTTATTCCATTTACAGTTAGTGTCTTTTCCAACATGAAAATTGCTATTAATAATTGTTTTTTTAAAGTCAATATTTTTAAGTTCTTTTTCTGTATTTAAATCGTCTCGATGAAACTAAGTGTTTTTATCTGCATCTGTAGTATAATCTTTGTAAAAAAAATTGTTACTTCAAAATCCATCACCTCCTCTTCTTCATCAAATAAATTTTTTTGGAATTCCTCTAAATTTTTTGAACTTTCAAGATTTAATAATCTCACACTACCATCCATTTTAGAGGCAAAAAGGATTACTTAAAAAAGATGAACAAATTAAAATACTATTTAAAAATATAAATAAAAAATGTTTTAATTAAAAGTTCACAAGGGTTAGATTTATATCCAACTTTTTGTAATAAGACTTAAACCAATAAGGCTCAAAGGCGCAATGTATCAACTTAAAGCTGAAAGTTGACAACTGAAAAAATACATCCCCGTGGAATGAGCAATAAATAATATCAATTTATGTTTACAAATTTAAAAATGTATTAACCAGATATAATGTTTATTAATGTATTTGAATTTAAGAAATGTAACAAACATGGGCGCAAAGAGTAAATTTGAACAAAATGATAAAAATTTACTCATATAAAGTGGTTTTAACATGATTTTTTTGCTTGTTTTCTTTTCTAGGTGTAAATAAATATCTTCTTTATTAACCTCTTTTTCTTTCTTTTTTCAACAACGCTTTTCCGTTTCTTGCTCTATAAGCTTTTGATCTTTCAGCATCTGATTTAGGCATTTAAAAAATGGTAATAAATATAACAACCTCCTTGTGAGATTTACGTTTTGTTATGATTTAAAAGTAAACCCGCGAACTTTATAAATAAAAAACCGTAAAATCGAATAAACAAAAAAGTTGCATTGCAAACTTTTTACTTATAGAAAAGTAGAAGTCAATATTAAAACCAAAAATTTATACAGGTGTTTATCTTTTATGGCTTTAAACCAATCGATAACATTTCTAGTTTTTTTCCATTGATTTAATTGTAGTATATATCTTAGATCTGTAATAATGTCAGAAAGAAAATCTTTACTAATTCTACCAACCTCATTTTTAGCAGGATTCAATGAGCGGACAGTTGGATTGTTTTCAAATGTATCTTCATGGTCTTTTAAAGTGATAAAACAATTGGAATTTGTATTAATGTCAATTTTATCGATAATTTCATGATTTTTCAAAAAACGCATACCTTCTAAGTTTACTTTATTTATCATGTTGCTTAACAAGCAAAATTGTATATCAAGCAACTGTAACCACTGCTAATCGTGATTCGTCTCATAATGAAAAATCCTACATAGGTATAAAAAACCTCCTATAAAATAAAAACATGCTAATCACGTTAAAATCATTATTTGTGATGTACCGATAACAAAAGATGTTTAAATTATTAATAGGGTTTGATGTATGTATATGAAGGTAATATATAAATATTAGGTACACAAGTTCCATACTTAAGGTGTATGTACCTAGTTAGCACTGCCTATGCAATAGCTTGATTTGGCTTATAAGCCAATACCGATGCATCGGCCAATGCAGATTAATCAACCGATGTTATCGGCTAATAGTTAAGCCGATTAATTGGTTACTGCAGTTACCTCATAGGCTAGTCGGCCAAGTCACTGCTGATGTATTGGTACATTTTATAATCAAGCTATTGCATGTATTTTAAATCTTCAATATTATTATAATACCCTTAAATAAATACATTAAAACCTATTATTAACCATAATCTGTCTTGCTATCCGTTCATCCCAAATATATATATGAAACTTGGAAAAAAAAACATACATAACTGCTTTGATGTAAAAATGGGCAGTTATGATGGAGCAGAAATTTGTGAATTTGTTGGATTATATATTTTAGATTTATTAAGTAAAATAATCAATATAAATGATTTAGGCCTTTATCGCGACGATGGTTAAATAGTAATGCGTAAAAAATCTGGTCCACAGTTTGATAAAATTAGAAAAGATATTATAAAAATTTTGAAAAATATTGGCTTTCAAATTGAAATAAACATAAATTTAAAAATTTTTTTTTTCTTGATGTCAATTTCTTGATGTCACATTTAACCTCTCGGAAAATACATATAAGCCTTTCAAAAAACCAAACGCAGGCTTTCACAGGAAGACGTGCGATTTCAGGTCTTTATATGACCACGCATTTAATACTTTTGTTTTGCGACTTGTCCACGGCTTTTAAAATAGTAATTATTTTCACGCGTTTTAAAAATAGCGCTTAAAAAACAAAAGTAAACAAAATAAAAATGAAAGCAAAAACCATACACTGAAAAAAGAAAATAAATCTTAACTTAAAGTAAGTAAAAAATAAGCTATATACTAAATTTTTTAATTTTTAAATTCAAAAGTGTTTCGCTTGATATACTTGCGTAAAGTTATTTTTCTAAACTTATTTATATATCAAGTTTGTAATAACTTTATTGCAGTAAATTATCGCAGGAATGAAAAGACTAAAGTAATGTTTATAGCACACCGTTTTGTTTAAAAATTCAATTCTGTTTGATATAAACTACTTTCTAAAATACAAGATTTATTACTTCTTTTTTTTTTTATTGTTTTTTGTTTTCTTATTTTTAGGATGCTTGTTATTTCCGTCAACGAAATTTGATACAAGTGAAGGAAACAAAACAGATAAAAAACTAAAGCATTTACAATATGCAATCTTTTTGAGAAATATACGCGTCAATATAAAGATAAAGAAAGAGCAATTTTTAAATTATGTTTACAAAAATATTTTACTAAAATTGTTTTACGTTTTATACTTTTATTCTCAATACGGCAAGGGAGCTCATTATTTTTTATCTATTTGTACAATCTATTTATAAATTTTCAAACATGTCTATAATATAAATTAATAATAAGTCATATACATTAATAATAAGTCAATAATAAATTAATAAAAAGTCTAATATATAGCTATAAAAAAAATTTAAGGCTGCATTCTCATTTATCTGATGATTCATTATCTGATGTTTAGATTTCAGTAGACTATTTTCATGAGCTGTATCGTCATTTTCGATATCTTCCTCTTCTGAATCAAGTAGTTCACAATCTGATACACTGTTATCACTGTCAACTGTTTCAACAGAAGATTCATTGCTATTTTTTTGATTTTCACAGATGTAAATTTCTGTTTCAGATTGAAATTTAACCGTTCTACGCTTTTCTAAATATTGATTCACGGCTTGTTTTAGTATATCATTTCGATCTTCATCCGACCAAACATGATCATTTCCAACAATTAACATGCACTCTTCTATAGTACTATGGCTCATTTGAAGTCTGTTTTCGGAAAGAATCGTTATCAGTGTGCTGAAACACCTTTCAACTGTGCTGTTTGATGACGATAAACAGAAGCACAGCTCAGCTAACTGCAAAATGTTTGGAAAATGAGCTTTTCCAAACTCCCATAACTTATGCCAAACTTCTAGACAAGTTAACTTTGAATAACGTGCTTTTACCAATATTTGTACAGAATCCCACTCCCCGAAAACCTTATCTTCCTGGAAATTTACATTTGCAAGTGGTTCCTGAAAATGTTGCATAAGGTATTTTATACCGTTTGAACTATCTTGCTCGTTGGTCCAATATTGAGGGTCCAGCCATTTCATGAAGTCAAATAACAGATTATCATTGAATGACTTAAATCGACTATTTATCAACGGTATTAAAATGTCAATACATTGTTTTCTAAGCTGGAACGCTCTTTTGATGTCGTTGTGTTTAGGTTCAATCATGCCATCTAGCTTGATGTCAAGGTACTTTTTATTGTTACTTTTTCTTTTTTTGTGTCCAGCCATTAAGTAACAAGATTCGACAAAGACCATGCCATTTTCTTCTTTTCTTGGAAACTTTCTAATCGAACTACAAAATGCTTCATCGAGTACCTCTAGTGTTAAAGCAGTTAAATTATTGATTATCAAATCAATTTGGGGTTGAACTTCGTGGGCTATCAAAACATTTTTTTTAAAAAAAAGCGACATTGGTGTCATGGCATCAAGCAAATCTACGTAGGCTCCGACGTAGCATAAAAAAGCGTAGTTAGTCTTTTTTTTAAAAATCCCTTGCAATTTTGACCTTGTTTCGTTTCGATAACCTTGTTTGTTTGCAAGTGTCTTTGGTAGAGCAAGTAAATAAGATGGCCAGTTATGAAGGAGTTTAGTGAAGCCTCTTTGTCGATGTGCTGCAAACCGAGTTCCTGTAATTTTATTCAGTGCGTAATATTGGATTGATAGAGATGCAGCTGCATGTTTGCAGGACTCCTTTAGTTTGCTGGAGTTTTTTAAGAGGTAAAATAAGGTTGTGTATAAATTGTCACACGATGAAAATTCTTTGAATTGGTTCATTGCATCTTTTATAGCCAGTTCCAGTCTGTGATTTACGCAATGTATGTTAACCAACCAAGGGCGAGTTGCTTTTAATTGTGTTAATGCCCCATTATAAATGCTCATGTTAACATTTGCTCCATCAGCTGTGGCTGAAATCAACTTGGTACGGTATTGAACTGTTGAAAAAGGAATTTTAGCTAGAGTAACGTTGTTAGTAATGAAGACACTGTCTAAAGCTAACTTTAATGAATTAGCGTCACTTCCTCCAAAGTCAGTCATATTGCGTAGTGATACAAAAAAGTAACAGGGGCCACCAGCATGCTCCACTCTAACTAAAATAGCTTCTTTTTCGCTCCCAGTTTTTCTTACTTGACTTCCATCAGAAAGCAATGATATCAATGATTTTTTGACAACGATTGCCGCAATTTTTTCTGTTATTGTTGTTGCAATGCATTTAATTAGCTCTCGTGCTAAAAAGTAAAAAGAGAGTAAACGTGCAAAAATAAGTAATTTAACAGCTATTAAACATTACAATTAAAATTTTAATAACAGATATAAAGTTCAGCAAGTAAAGTTACTACATTGTTATAACTTGAATTTGAAGTATAGTGAAATCAAATGATTCAAAACTTTATTCAAGTTTTTAAATTAAATTTTTGAACGACTATTCAAATAACACTTATGTATATTATGTATTTGTATGGGGCGCATGCCCCCCTCAAATTTATGGAAATTTCCTTTTTTTTTGAAATTCTTATTTTTCACGCCTAAACCTGCTATAATTTTCTTTTTAACACTCCTCCCCCTTCGCCACTATATACATGTTTTATTCAATTAATACACCTGCATTAAATAAAATACCTGTATTCCTGTAATTTTTGCCTTGCAATAACTTTACACCGTTAACTCTTTGAACTTTAACAAGCACCTCAAAATTATTATGCGGCAAAGCAGGATGCATAGCTAAGTCATACGCAGTTCGCATTAACTTTAAATATGCTTCGTAAACATCCTTGCTTATTAAAGATGCATTTGAAGATAAAGGAGTATTTAAAGAAGAGGTAGAGTTATCCAATAGCATCGCTTCTTTATGTGATCTTGTTGCCATATGTCTCTTAACCTAGAGTAGATATAAATATCATTACACTTTACGACATTATTCCGTATTGCCTAAAATAATAACTACCTATACCATAGGTACTCATTATATAAGATTCATAACGTTCTAAATAAAGAAATTATTTTTTAATCTCTACCATAGTTAATAAAAATACATTATACCTGATGATGTGTAACTACATAAGTTCCATTTGTAAAAGCTTTAGTATTTTTTTTAGCTGACCCAAATACAGACAGTTGGATGTGCATGTTATTTTTATGCTAAGCGCATATTTTGCACCATATCTTGACTACAGTGTTAACACTGTGAATACGTTCAACCTCATAACTCAGGAAATCATATTTCCACGCAGAAACAGTTTTCAGTGACTTTCTTATTGGTTTTGTACTCATTTTCCTCTTTCACATTCAACCCTAATCTGACTTTTGCGTTCAATGATCGCCTTTTATTACATAAAAAGCAATAGAAGTTAATGAGCAATTATGTATTAGAGAAGAAATAAAATTAAAGAACTTTTCCGTTACTTTTAATTAGATTTGTCAAAATTGTATGCATGTAGGAAACTGTTTCCTTAATGCTGTTTTATTATTTCAATGTAGTTGAAATTACTCTTTTTATTCCTTTCGACTAACTTAGTAACTGCATGTTTCAATTGCATTACGTTAAGTAATGAAACATTAGTATTTTCCAATAATTTGCTATTAGCTGAGTTGTACATCTGTTTATCGTCATCTAACAGCGCTAATAAAAGATGTTTCAGCACATTGGCGATTCTTTTTCAGATAAAAGACCTCAAATACTATCCACGTTCAGCACTAGTTATTTAACAGCCTTAGGCACAGATCCGAGTATAAATATTTCGCAGCCCCAGAAACAGTTTATTAAATAGTAATAGGTAATTCATGTATAACATTTTTAAACCCATATTTTAAGGGTTTGATAAACCTCACATTTTATAAAAAACAAAATTTTTTTCATATTTTAAAAATATTATTCAAAATATTCAAAAAAATTTTTACAACTTTTAACTGAATAAAAAAATCGTTAATTCTTTATAATGACATATATAATTCTCTTATAACTCCATGTAGTAAATATTTTATTTTCGTTTAATTTTTTGAACATAAAGTCACTTTTGCTCCCTGAATGTATCAAATTTCGTTAATTAAAGTAACAGGCATCCTAAAAATATGAAAACAAAAACAGTAAAAAAAAAAAGAGAAAAATTTCAATTTATAGTTTATATCAAACGGCATAGAACTTTTACATCAAATATGCTATAACCCTAACATAATTTGATATAAACCCAACATGCAATAAAATTGTTAAAAGTTTTGTTTACAAATAAGCTTCGAATAAATAACTTCAAAACATTGATCTTCACACAAGTCTTTCAAGTAAAACTCTTTTAATTTTAAAAAACATAATTTAGTTTTTAACTAACTTTTTTACTTTTGTTTATTTTCTCATAAGTTATGATTTACTTTCCTTTTACAGTTTATAGGTTTTGCTTTCATTTTTATTTTGTTTACTTTTGTTTTTTAAGCGCTATTTTTAAAACGCGTGAAATTAATTACTATTTTAAAAGCCGTGGACAAGTCGCAAACCAAGAGTATTACATGCGTGGTCATATGAAGACCTGAAATCGCACGTCTTCCTGTGAAAGCCTGAAACGATAAATTATTGTATATTAATATTAACTCAAATCATCCACCCCAAATTCTAAAACAAATCCCGATTTCAATTAGTAACAGGCTTAACCAAAACTCCTCTAATGAAAATGTATTCAATTCCTCAAAAGATATTTGAAGATGCCCTTAAATAAAGTGGTTTTGAAAACTTTGAATTAAAATTTGACCCTGAAAAAAAGAATACAAAAAAGCGAAATAGAACTAGAAATGTAATTTGGTTCAACCCCCCATATAGCAAAAATGTTTCTACAAATATAAGAAAAGTATTTTTAAAATTGATCGATAAGCATTTCCCGCCAAATAATAAATTAGAAAAAATTTTTTATCGAAATACTATTAAAGTTAGCTACAGTTGCACAAAAAATATGGAAAGAATTATAAAAGGTCACAACAATGCTTTGTTAAACAAAAAAGAATTTCAAAATGAAAAAACTACAAAAAATTGTAACTGTAAACAAAAAAATAATTGTCCAATAAGTGGAAGTTGCTTATCAAAAAATGTGGTTTATAAATGTGTTGTCTTTTCTAAGAATGTACCTGATAAACAATATATTGGCGTAACAGAAGGTGAATGGAAAAAACGTTTTGCCAATCAAAAGCAAATTTTTAAAAAAAAAAGTATTCAAAAGACACCATGCTGTCAAAATATATTTGGGAATTAAAAGACAAAAATATTGGTGATTTTACACTGAATTGGTCCAGCCTTAAAATAGTGCCTGCATATAACAATATTTCCAAAATATGCATAATATGCCTACAAGAAAAATTTGAAATAATTACACATACAAACCAAGAATGTTTATTAAACAAAAAATCGGAATTGATTTCTAAATGCAGGCACAAAAATAAGTTTCTCCTAAAAATCTATATAAATAAGTGAGCTCAAGTAATAGTTACATAAACTCCCCTTTGAAAAATTTTTTTTTGAAAAAAAAAAAGCCTAAGTAATCATTACTAAAGAATTCTTTTGACAATAGTGTCAGCAAAACACACAAATTGCAGTAGTTAAGACATGTGACTTCCTGCAATTTAATTTTTGGTATAAATTGAAGTTTTATTAATTTGATCATTCATTTCTGATGATATATACATATATGTATGTTTGAACTTTTTTTCAATATATATATTTATAGTTAATGAAATGTGCTAATAATGTAGTGGTACACTGTTTTATTTGTGAGAGACATTGAGTTAAAACCCACTTAGACGCTGGAATAACCAAGCTCTATATGTTTATTTATTTATCCACAAATGTCTTAAAAATTAGCAAACTAAAGTGAACTCCAAAGCTTAATTGGGGTTTTTGGGGTTGAATAAGTCTAAAAATAAAATAAATAATTTTGTTTTCAAAATAAAAAAGAACTTATAGATAAATTTCAGATAATTTCAGATTTAAAGTACATATTGTTATATTATTTTAATGTAATGTTTATAAGATTATTATTATTATTATAACGGTTATAATATTGTTATATTTTAATATAATGTTTATAATATTATTAATATTATCTTGATTGAGTTTTGAATTTCACACTTTTAATTTTGGTAATGGCAAGGCATGGCCATGTTTAATGAAATTTTTTTTATGTGTGCCTAAAAATTTTTTGCATTTAATTTTTTAATTTTAAAGATAGCAATAGTTATATATTAAAGTTTCAGGCTTTAAACTCAAAAAAAATTTAATTTTTATAATATTGTAAGTTCATTATTCTCGAAAAAAGAAAATGGTCACTTTGCCCTCTTTTTGTCTTTATAAACTAATAAATAAATAAAAAAATATTGCATTCAAGGCATAATTACTGTTTTGAGTTTTTCCATGAAGGCACTTTTTTAACAAACTTTCATCTGATTAATCTAAGAATACTGGTTTAATTATGTCTCTGATAACAATAGGCAGTCCAGGCATTTCTTTATAAACATTTGTTTTATTAATTTTATCTGCTTCGTATTTGCACCAAGTATTATTAGTTTGAGGACACATAGCATGTCTTACATCAGATGATGATGCCTCAGAGCAATGAAATAATATAGCTCCTATAGCTATTTTTAGTTCTTAAACAGATTTTCCACATCACTGACGAATCGCAATTCCAAAATAATTTTGAAACTTGTTAATTTTTTTGTCCGTAGGACGACCAACACCCCTTAATTTTTTACCATCACTTAATAAGCTTTTATTAGTTGCTTTTAATTTTCTTAGTCTCGCTCCAACTCTTTTTTGAAAATGTCCTACACAATTAAGCTTGGTTATTTCTTTTCCATATGTTTTTGATTATCTGAAAATGCTTTAGAGTCACCATCTCCAGATAATTTATGTACCTTAATTTTCTTTCTTTAAAAGAGGTATTAAAACATTTAACAAGTCCTGCTGCTTCCATAGATCCATCAGATCCAATATGATAAAGGTGACAATCATTTTTATTTTTTTGCATAAACTCTTCATATTCATCAAGTTAAACTTATCCTCCCAGAGTTCACAAGCTTTACATTTTATTGTGCGAACATGATAGTCAAGGCATTTTCCTGTATCAACTGCAATAACAGATACTATACCATTTAAGGACTTATGTCCTCGCTTCTGCCATGTACCGTCACAAGAAACAGTAATATCTGAAACTTCAGTATCATCTCTCAATTTAAAGTCAAGAGCTGCATTAATCATTGATTGCGTTGCAACACATTTATATGACAGCAATATTTTGTTTTGAACATCATTAAATGTGGCTTTTTGAATTGGAGGTGGTAAGTTTAAAAAACCACATAGTTTTTTTAATGCACTATGCCCTTTTCCAATTTCACACATCGCAACTACTGAACGTAAATTTATATAAAAAGACTTTTCGAAAATTTTACTTGCAACTTTTTAACTAGTATAGAACTTTGTTTTCCATGAACACTTAGTGGAACTTAATAGCAACAAAGAACTTAAACCTTTTTTATTTTTGTGATCTATATTAATATTGATTTGCTCTCACAGTCAGGACATGTTCCAACTATTGTCTGAATTCGTACAATTATATCAAGATCAATTATAACATAGTTAGACTCGTTTTTATTACTTTGAGGTTGTAGAAAAGGTTCATCACTGGCTATAACAATACTGGTTGATATTGTTTCTTCATTTTGGGGAAAAAACCCAAACTTGATTTTTTCGAAGTGCTTTTTCTGTTTTTAAAAACTCTTGAGGCACCAATTTTTCTTCTTCTTAAAGCTTCAGTTTTCATATTAATTGATTAGAAATAATTAATTTATTTTAATCTACACTAAATAATTAAAAAACAACAATAAACAATCATACTCTAGCAATATTAAACATCAGTAACTGAAATAGATAACACGTGCTTATATTTATGCAAGTCACCTAACAATCATAACAAAAAATTAGATGGTAACTGCTTATATAAGAACTGGTTTTAATGTTTTCACGGCAAAAAAAGAAGCCAAATATCACTAAGTAATTTCTCAAAACTTACAATAAAAAATTCTTGCTTCAGGCAGTTCAATAAGATGATATGCATGATGCTTGCATTTGTTGCTATGCCGTTGCTAAGGAGCAA